ATGGAACACAGACTTCGTTTTCGTGTTTGAAACGCTTGTTAATAGTTTTTTTTTTTTTTTTCGAAGAAACAGAGGGTTCTCTTTTTTTGTTTTTGTGAACGAGAAAAAGGGATTCCGGTCTGTTTCCACTTATACTTAAAATATACGATTATTATAATACATTTTATATTAATCCTATTCGTCTGTTTTTATTGTTGAAACCCGCCTTTCCTTTAATATCGATTACGATTAGCTTTCTTTATCATTTTCGTTATTATCGTCGTCAGTGTTATCGATTTTGTTGCGAATAATAATGTTAAATAATTCCATTTATATGTTACGAGTATTATTTATAATTACGACTTAGTATCAGTGCTGCCTTTTTTAAAACTAGTATATAGGTAAGGCGCTATTTAAAAACTATGCGTCAGGAGTAAGCAATTTTTTTTAAAAGAATTTTTTTCACAGTTATCCGCCAAAACGAGTGCTGAGTTTTGAAATTCTCGGTTTTAGTTTTAATAGTGGAACAAATCGAAAATGGCAACGAATTAACGGCTAATCTTTTCTTACAATCTAAACCGCATTCAAAGCAAAGATGGCATTGTATATACAAAATTCTTAGTAATTTTTTAACATGTTTTATAACAATAAACAATGTAATTTTATTTCATCAAATTGAAATAAACCTATTATCAGATGTATCGAGAAATTGAAGTGAAATAAATGTTGGTAATCATGGAATTGATTAAGCTAATTTATTATAATTATTTTTTTTTTATTGATAATATGATGTGGGTTATTATTGTATTTTTGTAAAATTTGTAGATAATTCATTGAAAATTCTGTTCAGTTTTTCCTCATATGCTGTAGAATCCTGTATTTTTGATTTCAGCTCCATCAACATTTCTTTTAACTGAAATATATTACAAAGAGTATCAATAACATAAATGCAATCATATTTTTGCTGATATATGATTTCTTTATAGTATAAACAATACAGCAAAATAGTAATAATAAAATACTGCATAAGAATTTCTATAACATGGTCATTAATGTAATTTCAGTGTAATTTGTGCACCTTATAACATAGATTTTCTATTTCTGGATGTAATTTGTCATTATTGGAAAACTGGTTGGATTTGTTTACAGATAGAGCAATTAGTTTACATTGTAGATACTTTATTTTTGCTTTGTTTCTTTCATTGATTGCATGAAAACAAAGACCAAAAGTTTGTAACCGTTTGTTCGATTGAATTATACCTTTAGCACTTTCTGTCAAGTATTTCTGTTCTTTAGATATTTTGACCATATTTCTGAAGTGAAAAAGCAAAAATAAGAAATTGATAGCATAAAGGAACAAACATACCATGATTTAAAAATAATATTAATATTAAAATTGATACTAAATGAATAGTCGTTATAAGTACATATTTACTGGTTTAATATAAGTTAACATTTACTGATATGTTAGTATAATTTAAAAATGTATGTATTAACCTATGAATATGTAATTGTTTTAGTGATAGTGGAATAGTGAAATTCCAATTTTGATGGAATTTTACTTTTTTTCTTACACGTCAATATTTGCAACAATTTTCTCGTGGTCATTTTTCAATTCTGTTAACGTTTTTTCTAGTTCCTCTTTTCGCCGAGTTTCCCGCCGTAGCGTGTTTTTCAAACTCTCAATTTTAAGTTTGAATTTCGCGGCCTCGGTTCTACTAAACAGCGTTTCCTTTGCTAAAACCTCGCGTTCCTTGAGCATACTTTCGTATTTTAGTGACAAGTTTGAATAATCAATTTTATCACGCATTTTTTCTTCTTCTAGGCGGTTAATCGTTTCCGACGCTAATTTTAAACGACCTCGCAACTCACTCAATATTTTTCCTTGACCTTGTAAAAACGAATCTTTCGAGCAAAGCTCTTCACGTATTAAAAGACATTCCTTTTCTAAATTATCCAATTCTCTCTTAAAGAAAAATTACTTTTTAACAAATTTTTCTTTTTATTTAAATAAGTTTTAAATATAAATCTTAATAAGATAATAACGAAGTTATTGGTAAAATAACAATTTAGTACTTACTGTATTCCGTTGAAATTCGTGAATCATTCGGCTCAATTTCTTCTCAAAATGAAAAATATCCTGCACGTTAGGTCGAATGTGTTTCATATTTATAGGCTCTTTTCACTTATCTAATACTTAATTTAGGACAATGACTATGATTGTATTTTGTTATGTCTTATAACATATCGGAAATCTTTACGCCAAAGAGGTTTGAAGTTTGAAACATGGTTGGTGTCACTTCGATATAATCGATTTATCGAATTTCACAGAAACCTGAAACGCAATTAAATAATTTTGTAAAAATCATATGCTTCAAGTATTATAAAAGAAATAGAAAATATTTCTTTATTTGTACTGTTTATACGGAAATTACAATTTATATAAAATATTTATTAAAGTATTTTATGAATACTATGTTCATTGACATTATTTGAACTTGCTTTCAAATATTTAATTTCTTTCATTGAATTCACATAGATATTTTGTATCAATTTATTTTCATTCAAACAGAAAATATTTTTTGATTTTTTATTTACATTAAAATTGATATTTATGTACTTATTAATACAGTATGTAAATATAATTCGAACACAACTACATTTACAGGATGTATCCAAAATGCTACAGTTAAAACAGGGGTATGAAAGGACTTAATAAATACAAATACATTAACAAAAAAATTGATTTTATTAAGATCTTAAATAGTACGTATAAAAAGTTAATGACTATCCATAAATTGAATATCTGAAAGTAGTAAAACTGTGTTTGGCAATGGTCTTGGTTGTGGACTCAGAACTGTGAATGCTTGCCTCTCCACATCAACATTGGTTCTACAAATAAGAAAAATATTTTGTAATACTAATGCTTATAGAATAATATTAACTTCATAATATTATAAAATATCACGTAATTTGTATATTCTATTATTTTTATGTAAAATGTTTCTTTTAAAGTCATATAATATAAAGGACCCTTACACACAAACAAATCCAGCAACGTTAGTTTGCACTACATCGTCCTCTGGTGAATCGGCGAATGATACTGATAATAAGTGATGAAGAAGATTTGGTCCAGGTGTAACAGCTACTAATTTTGTTAAATTATCCTCTGCCTTCATGCCTAGCGGCATGCACGAGGCAGGAAGCACTGGAGCTCCAATTTTATATAATCTAGCTTCACTCCATTTCACTTCAAAACTATGTGGATAAAGTGGAGTTCTAGATCCATAAAAATATTCCCTAACACCCTGATCTCTGGCTTCTGTCCTTTGTGCTTGACTCCTTTCTACAACTCCACCACTTTTTGGTAGAAATACAACTTTCACAAAATCTGGCATATCTCTAACAAGTTCATTATAAAGTCTTTCTTGATCTAGTATCAAAATAGCATCAACTTCAAAAGCCTGAGCAGCATGAGTTAATAGTTTGTATCCATCTCCTTTCACCCAACCACAAGTGTTTATTACAATTCCTGAAACTCTGGCTTTTTTGTTTGCTTGAAGTCTATCTGAACAGACTTCTGCCAGGCGTGTTACAAGGAGATTATAAAGAGCAACATTGGCTTGTGGAGATTTATGTCCAAAATGAAAGACTAATGGTGCTTGCTGGCTGAAACCATCAACTACATTCGATGGACGTTCAACTAGCAGTGCTCCAACGGTGCCAGGTATTGCTATGTGACCTTGACCAACATCTAAGTCTACAAAAATTGGCCTACGACCCATTCTAACTGCATAATTTAGTAGAAGTCTACAAAGTGTTGATTTTCCTACATCACAAGGGCCTACAACCATTGTTATTGGTCCCCTAGTGTCATCTTTCTCTGCAGTTTCCCTGAGTCTTTCCATTGCAGCATGACAATTTAAATAAAGTCCCATTGGAGTCTCTTTGGCAACATAGCTAACATCAGTTTTTCCAACTAATTCCACTGTACAACCTTGCCAAGTAAATACAGCTACTTTAGCACCAGCTATAAATTCATATTTCTTTCCTTTTACCAACTCTGTACCAAATACTTCTGCTAAACCACTTTTCAACTACAAAACAAAATCGAAATTAAAATAGTAAGAAACAAACTATAAAAATAGATAATAAAATCCAATAGTCAAAATATTAAAAAAATATTTAAAAAATATTTTGATGCTTACTTCAAGCGTGACTTTCTCATTCTTCGTCTCAACCTCAAAACGTAATTCACAATCTGAATCTAACTTAAACTCCTGCGTTTGAGCTTTTTCGTCTGTCATTTTTTTAATATAAATCACACCCACTCGTCACATACCTTAATAACGACATTTATGCAACGTATTCACGTCAATTATTTTTTAATATTATTTCTTGTTTACGTAGTGTATTCTAACCTCCACATTAATAACCTAATCTTTTGCACTATCGATATTTCGTACAATCAGCAGTACTATCGATAATTGAAGAATGTTGAAAATAAATACACGCTATGCGATATTTAGGAAGTATCGTATCGATTATTGCAACTATCGGCATATATATCGATTGTTGTATCTGTCGATAGTACTAATAGGACGAAAGTGCCGGTGCCACGCGTACTAACATCAAAGTTTGCTCCAACCTTAAACGAAACGTCAAATTATTCATAAAAAAATGACTGCTTTAATGGTTCTTGCAAAATTTTGGTCAGAGTACGCGAAAAGTACACCAAAAAAGCTTAAAATAATAGACGCTTATCTGCTCTATGTGTTTCTAACGGGTGTTACACAATTTATATATTGTTGTCTGGTCGGTACATTCCCCTTCAACAGTTTTCTCAGTGGATTTATTTCTTGTGTCTCTTGCTTCGTCCTTGGAGGTATTGTTAGCAATTGTTTTTACATAGATTAAAGAGTTTCTTATAAATTTTAGTAACTAATGTGTTGATATTGAATAATTTTACATGATGGTACTCTTATCAATTCTTGTGATACTTGTAATTATTATACTTTTTACTTCTTTAATTATTAAATCTGTTAGTGATTGTAATTTAATTGTAGAAGTTTTTTAAAAAATAAGCTATAAAGGTTCATAATAATAGTCAATTATTATATTAGTAATGGTGTAGTTTTATTGTACCATCTGTTCATAATTTCTGTTAAAAAATCAAAATTAATATCCATGTTAATGTTTCTTTTATTGTATTAAAACATCTTTCAAATTATATACTCGTTACTATTATATTTGTGAAGAATTAAAAGTATATTTGATGAATATTAAATGTGTTGACAATTATAGGTTAACATATTATCTACATTTGTGCTTGATGTATTTTAGATATGATAGGTATTAATTTTGTTTACTGTAAATCTATATGCTATCTTTCTTTTTAATATAATTTGCAAATTTGCAAATTATACAAGTTATACAGTTCTTTTTATTACTACTTTAGTAGTTCAGTACTATTTGATAATATGTTTACTTTGTACACATTTTAAAATTAATTTGTTAATTTGAGGTTCATCTGTTTCGACAACCGAACATAATAAAGATATGAAATTTGTCTTAAACAGTTTATTTTAAAAGATATTTATTAATGTATATTTCTTACACTATTCTTCCTTTTATCTGTTTCAGTTTGTTTACGACTACAAGTAAATCCTCAAAATAAAAGTCAATTTCATGGAATAAGTCCTGAGAGAGGATTTGCAGACTTTATTTTTGCACATGTCATTCTTCATATTGTTGTAATGAATTTCATTGGTTGAAAATGAGAAATAAAATTTTACGTATGTTTTAATAAAATATTAAATGTACAGCATTACTGCATTCAAACCATATTATTAAGAATAAATACCATGTCTTAAGAATATCTGTATATTTAAAAATAAATGTGATAATTGAGGAAGGCACTGAAGAGTAAACTAGAATTTACTTTTATTTATATAAATTGCATTTTTTACTGAATAGT